TGCAGTGGGTCAAGAAGCTAGTTGAGGCAGGATTCAGTCACAGAGTAATGCTCTCTCATGACATCCACACCAAACACAGACTGGTAGGTGATCTAACTTTAGTAGACTCAGAATGCTGACATTAGGCTTTTCTTGTCCTCAGGTGGCCTATGGAGGTCACGGATATGGTCATCTGCTGGAGAATGTGGTGCCCAAGATGAAGGACAGAGGAATCAGTGAAGATATCATCTCCTCCATGATCACCGACAACCCTCAACAATGGCTCACATTCGTGTGACTACGAATTTTATATCTGTTTTTTCATACCTGTTCTGAATGAATTACCTATAATTATTATGGACTAACTTACAATTCTTTCGATTCTCTTTATCACAATGTAAACAAGGCTGTGTGCTGCAGACCACAGAAAACCATGCAACCACGAATGCAGAACAATATAACTTCTGTCAAGTTCTGCAAGTGCAAAACTGTCCCAGGGGCCAGGAGACGGTGTAATGGGAGTATATAAACCTATCATTTGTTTTAGTGACATGAATACGTACGTACATTATACACAACAACGGCAGCAACTGAATCAGGCTTCCAGCCATCTCCATGCATGTCAGTTCACTGATCATGGCGAAGCCCGGTATAGTGCTCATGCGCATATATTTGGATGAGCAGCGCAATGTCACACTGCATACAAACCGGTAAGTCGCTAGGTTGCTAGAGCGGTTCCTCCCTGCTATATAAGACAGTACATCATGGCTTTCAGTGTTGGGCGGTGTGGAGGTTCACCAGTTGACAGGGCCGATTCTGCCGCACGAACACATTGTGGTGGACTTCTCTCGTGGTATAGTGGCTCCTCCTAGAGGTCTGGAGTGGCTCATCCAGGCCAGACTCAATCTGGGCAACCTCGGCAAGATCAGACAATATCCGTAAGCCCATGACACTGCTCTACCAGCTGCGTAATAGAATTTCTCGCTCTGACTGCAGCTACAGTGTCCAGAGGAACCTGGTCATGGATGATGTGCAGGAGATGGCGAGTGAACTGGAGATGTTCAGGGCCGCAGGAGGAGCCACGATCTGTGAGCTCTCCTGTGTCGGGGTCCGCTGCAGTCCACACTCCCCCCCAACAGCAAGATACACGTGAACGAACGAGTGGGGGTAAGTTAGAGGAAATTACACCAGGGGCAGGGGGGGCAAGGGACAGGAGAGATGGGTGGAGGGTACGAAAAAGAGGGGGGTGGTGGGAAAAGGGAAGGTGAGAGAGCGGGAGGTGGGGAGAATATAGGGGGGGGGGGAAGGGGAAGGGGAAGGGAAGGGAGATGGTGTGGGAGGGACGAGGTAAAGGAGGGGGTGTGTGTGTGGGCGGTGGAACGGAGACGCGTAATAGGGGGGTGAGGAAGTCTTAGGGAAAGGGGCGAAGGAAAAAGAGGTAGATTGAGGGGGACAGTTGAGGTGTAAAAGACTCGGGGGGGGGGAGGAGTTAGGGCAGAGGGGGGAGGTGGGTATTGTGACCGGGGGGTGAACGGTAGAAACGAGAGAAGATTGAGAGGAGTGAGCAGAGGAAGGATGGAACAGAAGCTCCTGTAGGAGTGAAGGGTGGGTGGGAGTTGTGGGGGGTGGGAGGGGGGGATAGGGGAAATGGTAAGTGGTGCAAATATGAAAGAGTAGAGGAGTGGTGTTCAGTGGAGGGGGTAAGGGCGGGGAGGGCCAGGAAGGTCGAAAGTGGAGATTTATCAAAGGGAATGGGGAAAGAAGGGGATTAAAGATGAAAGGGAGTTTTAAAGTCAAGAAAAGGGGTGGGGAGGAAAGGGGATACGGGAGGGGGAGAGGCACGCATAGGGGGAGGCCACAAGGCAAGCGTTGGTTGAAGCATCAGGTATGGGTAGGAAAGGAGTAGGAGGGTAGGGGCAGGGGGGGGGGACGGAGGTAAGCGGGTGGTGAACGGGGGAGGAGTGGACGCTGGGCTGTGGGGATAGTGGGGGGGAGATGGGGGGTGGAACTGGCGATGGGTCAGTGAGTGGTGTGTGAGCGGGGGGTCAATCGCGGGAGGGGGGGTGGCATAGGGTGGGTGTTGGCCGGGTGGGGCTGGATTCAGTGAGAAGGGAGGATGGGACATTGAGGGCGCGAGGGGGGGGGGGGGAGCTAGGCATGGTGGGGTGGGTGGGTGGTGGTGGGAGGGGAGCTAACGGCAGGAGTTGGACGGTTTATCGAAGAGCGAGCGAAATGGAACAGAGGTGAGAGATAAGTGGAGAGAAGGTGTGGAGAGGAAAGATTCGTCAAAAAGATAGTGTAGGTGTCTAAGGCGATAGCTAGGAAGGATGGAAAGGGAAAGATGTGCGGTAAAAGGTGGTAAGGGCGCTGAGGGTAAAAAAGGGGGGGGGAAGAGGATGCGAGGAAGGGGGTGGGGGTAGGAGGAGTAAGGAAGATGAGATGGCAGGGGAGGTGTCAGGGGTGGGACCCGGGGTGTTCAACGTGTGGATTGGTTAGAGGGGGTAGGCTTAGCTCCGGGGCAAAGTATAATGGTAGAACTAGTGTGTGCCGCGAGCTGGATTTTTGGGTGGCTAAGTGGGGGGAGGGAATGATTGAATAAAGGGATCAATGTGGTTTGACTGGTAGGGAATGGGGCTTAAAATGGAGGTCGGGTTGGGAGAGAAGTGTGACAACAGGGAGTTAAAAGAGGAGAATCTTGTGGGAGGGGTGGAAGTAATAAAAGCGCGTGGGGAGAACGGAGTATGGGCGTGGAAGGGTCAGACTAGAGGTAGTGTGGGTATAACGAGGGGTGGGATGGCATTGGGTGAGATGAGGGAAGAATGGATGCAACGGACGGAGAGGAATCAAGTCTAACATGATACGGCACGCGGTTGTGCGATTGGGGGCGGGAAAGGCGTGGGTCCAGCACCCCCTGGCAGCTCCTAGCCCAGCTCTCTAGACTGAGTGGAGTACACATTGTCCACACCACTGGGTTTTACTGCCACTCATTCCTACCAAACACTGTGCACGGGATGAGCGTTCATGAGATGACTCAGACCATGATGGGCGAGGTATAATAAATCACTGCAATACTTGCATACTCTCTCTCCTCTTGAATATATAAATGTGTAACAGGCTTCTAGAAGACAACTGTCATTAACTCTGAACATGACACATCCATGAATCAATATAGCAGGTCCTTGCACTATCTGCATAATTAACCCTCGGCGCGCATGCGCAGCGAGGGTTACGGTACTTGGTTCGTAAGTGTCAGTCTGTCTGTCTGTCTGTTTGTCTGTTACCACGTTTTCTGCGACTACGCGCAACGAGATAACAAAATAGCGATACCAACGGGTTCGTCGCTACACAGGCTTCATTTTAAAAAAGGCGATTTTCGTATAACTGCTGCGTTCAAAAGTTATGGCGTGAAAAACAAGTGAACAAGCCAATATGCAAATTAGCGCAGGCTTACCTCGACCGCGTCTGTGTATCTTGCAGGCACAAGAAGTCACAACGAAGGGCATGTATCGACTCCCGCATGCTATCTACTACTATACCTAGCCCGTGTCAGACTCTCCGCGAGCTAATAGCGGGATACCACGAGTAAAGACATACAAAGCCCAGCCCATCAATTAGTGCTACCGCGCATGCGCAGTTCGACGAGGGTTTGCACTTTAGTGCTTTTCATTTTTTAAGTCTTGGCATGCCACATCAGGTCCTGGGGATAAATATGACCTCATTGTGTCACTGGCTTAGCAACATAATGGGAGTGTAGCTTGAAGCAATACATTATGCAGGAAGGTTCTCATAGAAAAGATACAGCTCACTGGCAGCCACAAGACATGACTAAAGTATGTTCGCGCTGAGAATGCACCTTGAAAATCTAGAATAACATGATTCCAGCACCGTATGCGGCAACACTTGGCATCAAAATGTAGCGCTTCACACTCCGGTTCGTTCAGCGCTTACCCCGCACAGATCAGCTACGTAGTTTTTTTTCACTACACACATTATGCATAATCCCATACATTTCTACGCATACTTAAACATACGGCGAGAATAGTACTGCCCTCCTCATTATCTACTTCCGCATGCATTCTCAGTGCGAACGTACATTAGATGTTGCAGAATATGCATAAACACAGCATGCCTCATACGATCCGGATGGGAGTGTGTTGTTCTATTGTTGCAGGTGAGCGTAGGGGTGGAAGGGACGGGGGTGAGGTGTGGGGCGGCGTACATCGGCTGCTCGTGGCCACTCCACCCCACCGAGGAGAAGGCACTCAGAGCTGCCTCCGCACTACAGAGGACACTGGGTGAGCTTCAATGATTACAGGGATACCCCAACGAATGAGTTCCGAATGCTAACCCACTCTATTTTCCCTCCACTTTCCCTCAAGCATCATACTGAAAGGCATTGTAGAGCCTGGAACTGCATGCAGGCATAATAATGGGGCAGTGTAGTTGTTTTGTTTTTTTATACTTAGTGACTGGTGAATGTATATACGACAGGATCGACATTTGCTGGTTCAAAACCTCCATAATATACCCCAATCACGGTTCACCCAGGTCGCCACGAACAATGTCCCTTCCAAATTCTGGATATTCTGGAATCATCCGGTGCCGACATCACCAGAGTGTGTATCACTCATAACGACAGGACCTTCCCCCCACAATCACCTCGGCTACTGGACCTAGTGTCTCGCGGGTGCTACCTCAATATCTCTCTCTTTGGCAAAGAGTGCTCTCACTATCAGTACGATTCTAGTGCCGACATGCCCAGCGACGCGCAGAGAATTGAGATGGTGAAACGTCTACTGGACGCAGGTCACAGGGATAGGATACTCGTCTCCCATGATGTCGTCTGTAGACACGAGCTGCGGAGGTACGGAGGTCATGGGTACACCCACCTCTTGGAGCACGTGGTGCCCAAGATGATGGACAGGGGAATAGACCAAGGAACTATCGCGTCTATCACCACCAACAACCCTCGCCACTGGCTGACTCCACTTTCAGTGTCTTAGCTATGAGCATAATGCATTCAGCACTCTTCAATAGCGCAAGACTTTGTCGATGACGGCATAAAGTTGAGTAACCATGCAGTCAAAGTGACCTGTCAAATTTCCGTTGCATAATACTTTCATGCAAACACAAACAAAAATAGTTGGAAAACAGGTTGTGTGGAGATTATATTCAAGTCCGCAAATGGTGCTCACTGGAACTATATACCTACGTATTACTAGATGCATGTACAGTACAGTCTCCACACGTACATAGAGCACGTGGGTACACTAACTCTAATTAAAGCCCCTCACACATAACTTGCACATGTGTGGCTGTCTTCATACACCAACTGGACACTCTTCTCTCTTCCCTACACATCTACGCAATCTTCGATCTTCATGCATCAAAACAACTTCATTATCTTCAAATTTACAGCTTCTTCAGCTGAGAAAAAGCAAAGAACACAAACTGTGATAGCTAGTACAATACACAGGCACATACAACCGTACAATGTATGTTCCCCACAATACATTAGGAACGATCAACAAAGCTTTAGGTAGATACTAGTGTTCATATGGGTGAAGAGGCAAATGACTAAACTGCAACGCCTAACTAGATAACATGTACGGTAGCAAAATTTGTAAAGATATTGTATGAATGGTGTCTTTTGGTTGATAAAGGAGCGTATGAAGGAGTGCTACATACTAAAGATATGCAGACAAAAAGACGTGACCTAGTAAAGTGGCAGGTCATAAGGTGTGGGGCGACCCTCTAATCAGTAGTCAATGTACGGGTTACCACCGCGACCTACAGGGGAGGGAAATACACAAAGTACCGTCACATCTTAATCAAGTCTATGGATGAAATAAGAGCCATGACTCAAGTCTACTGTTGTATGTATGTCTCCATTCCCTGTACCACACACACATGCACACACCCCACACATGCACACACCCCACACATGCACACACCCCACACATGCACACACCCCACACATGCACACACCCCACACATGCACACACCCCACACATGCACACATCCCACACATGCACACACCCCACACATGCACACACCCCACACATGCACACACCCCACACACACTACACACACATGAAAAAACATGTTTATAGCATACTAGCTAAAAGAATAAGAAAGAACCCTTAAACACCCCCCCGAGCACACAAAACACAGACAATAACATATAAACAGAAAGAGAGAGGCAGGACCCTGGGTGCCCAGCCTTGAGAACCGGGGCGGTAAGTTAAATAGTCTTTTACGCATACCCACCTAGACACACCACACGCATTCACAAACACTACACACATATGCACACACACAACTTCCAAGAAGTCCCAAGTAAGGGTCTGAGTAATGAGAAAAATTCCCACTTATGTACAATTATAAAGCAAAGTGTGCAGCATCAGTGTTTGGTGGTGCTCATTTCCTCTCAGGGAAAATGGAGAGGAATCACAAATTAAAACATAAACATCACTTGCCACACTCCCCGGGCTCCAAATAGAGCTCACCACCCCTTTTCCAAATAGAGCCCACCTCCCCATTTCCCAAATAGAGCCCACCACCAGACCTACTCCCTCCCTCACCGTATTCTCGGTCGTAGCCCCTATCGTAACCGGACCGCTCATAGCTCCGGTCGTCATAGCGATCATCTCGATCAACACGTTCGTCATCGTGAGGCCGTGTGGGTCGACCCATGTATACCCCGGGGGTTGGAGTATGGGCTCTCTTGGTGATGGAGAAATCTACCCTGATCCTCCGACCGTCCAACTCCAGACCATTACAATTCTCCTTCGCCTGAAATCAATGACGTAACTGTGTCAGAGAGCTTGGCTCGGGGAGAGCGGAGCACTGCACACCATGTGACATAATCTGCTACACCATGTGACATAATCTGCTACACCATGTTACATAATCTACTACACCATGTGACATAATCTGCTACACCATGTGACATAATCTGCTACACCATGTTACATAATCTACTACACCATGTGACATAATCTGCTACACCACATGACATAATCTGCACACCACGTGACATAATCTGCTTCACCATGTGACATAATCCGTTACACCATGTGACATAATCTACTACACCACGGAGTAACTCACATCCGCTGCATCCTCGGCGTCATCAAAGTACACGAACCCAAACCCTCGAGACCTGCCAGTCTGCCGGGGGAGTACGTACAGTAAGTCACAGAGTATATAGACACAATGTGGCATTTCACACAAATATTTCCCACACCCACTCACAAAATTTCATACTGTATTTGCATAACAATCTGAAAAAAGACTAACAGCACATTTGATAGGGTCTAGCACTGTGTCTCACCAGGTGATCATAGACAATGTTGACATGTTTGAGTTCTCCGTATCTACCAAATATCTCCTTCAGATCTTTCTCAGACGTGTAGAGACTGAGACCAAACACACCCAAGACATCACTGGGACTAGGGTTGAACTGAGGAGAAGGGGGGGTGGACGGGAGGCGAGGGGAGGTGATGAGGAGAATGGGGAAAAGATAAAAAGGGGGGACACAGTGAAGAGTATACACTACAGCAAGAAAGGAACGGGGGGATAGCAAGCAACACCTCAAATGCAGTATTGCACAGGCTAAGAAAGAGCAGCATTGCAGAGAATGTTAGACACAAATACAACCATAGCACACAGCTATGGTTGTATGTGTCTCTCATGTACAGGAGTGGCATCAGACAAATTTTTGCTCACGTCTCTCTCAAAGAGACCGTCACAAATTAAAACAAAGCCATCACTTGCCACAGACAAATGAACACGACACAACTCCTCCCACTGAGCTGGAAGGGCAGACAGCTATAACAATCTTGATGCGATAACTAAAAAGTACTGAAGTGCTTGGTGTCCGAGACTATGCCTTTACCAACGCTTGAATTTCCCATAAGATTCTTCCAACTCACATGCACAAGCAGAACGGCATGTTGTATGTATGTACATAAGTACATGATTGTGCAGTTACAGATAGAGACTGTGAATACACAATTTAAGAGGTGTCTCTAATTAATGACCCCTCTTCCTTTAGGTGTGGAGGTTGGCTAAAGTAGTGGATAAACAGGTTTGGGTGAGTGAGGATGTACAGTGGAACCTGAGATAAGAGATCCACCGGCATAGGGATGACCTCTCTACAAAGGACACTTGTTTCAACCCCATGCTAATACTTTAGTGTATTGTTTGACCTCTGAGATAGGGACGACCTCTCTACAAGGGACGCAATCATTGGCCCCAGTGTCCCTTGTTCGGAGGTTCCACTGTACTGACAATAATGCCTACACTCACTCTGTTTCCATCGTGTCTCTTTCTATTGGAGAGAGGTGATCGGGAGCGAGAGTTGGACTTTGAGCGATGGTGCTTGCGGCGGTGGTGACGTCTTCGAGACGAGTGGGGAGAGTAGGACCGACTGCAGGGGGGAAGATGGAGTAAGAGAGAGAGAGAGGGAGGGAGAAAGGTAGGGTCAAAAAAAGGGAAAAGATGATCAGAAGTTCACAAGGGATTTGTTCAAAAAGAGCACAGTACTGTAGGCAGAAAGAAGGGAGGTAAAGGAAGGGGTGAGAACAAAGGAAAAGAGCACAGCACAGAAATGAGGGAGGTATATACCAAGATGAGGAAAAGGGGGAGCTTTTCGTGTTACATATGAACTGAAACACGTTTCTCTACATCAAGAATACACTAGCTGCATACTACTTGGGGGAAAAGTGGAAGAAAAGTGGAAGTAGGGGGTGAAAAAATCAACAGTTTTGTGTGAATGCTGATACGAATACAAAACAAGACTAAGTGTGCACAATGCACATGGGTGGAGAGAAGGCTAAAAGCGACCCACTATTATACGAGAGGATAGAGGGGAGGTTGGGAATCAGGTGACACGTGTACCTGCGAGAGCGGGAGTAGGAGTGGTAGTGGTGACATCTGTGTCTGTGGCGATGGTGCCTCCTCCGAGGACTGCATATACAAACAGAGTAAAAGAGGCAGCTATACACACTATCCTTGTTTTGTTGAGTTTAAAATCACAGTACAATTAATCTGCAGCCAGTTTTGATCAGTGTGGCCAGTTTGAAAGACCAAGTTTGTGTCAGTAGGTCCAACTCTACCAGTCCATTTCCATGCTGTATAAAGAGCTTACTCTCTAACACAAACATCTCTCTTATTGGGTTTATGCACACAAAACCTCCTGATGGTAACGTTCCTTCGTTGGGCATTCGTTCACAAGCTCCCAATGAGAGCTAGTGTTTTTGTATGTTGGTGTGAGAGGATTGGCTGACCTCTGAGAGCAGGATCTGGAATAGGACCGCGAGTACGACCGGCGACGCCTTTTGGAATTGGAATGGGACCGAGACCGGGATCTGGAATGGCTCCGAGACCTGTAACAATGGCACAGAGAGACCTCAACAACACCAACCAAACAAGACTCCAACCACCACCTCTAGTGCTTCAAATAGCGTAGCCGTTACCTACTTTAAAGGAATTTATAGACTATTATCATTGCGCGCGGTGGATCTATATATAGATTCGTTACGCGGATGGTAGCCAACGCGATCGGCATATATATAGACGCGTAGGAACACTCACTATAGTGAGTGTTCCTACGCGTCTATATATATGATACTCTCTTCGTCCTAGTTGCCGTCGCTAGTCGCTGGCACAGCCAGACCTTGCTACACCTTTGACCTTTGAGTGGGCGCACAGTTTGCGCATGTACAAACATAAAAGGCGGGGCTGGGTGCGCAGCAGCTGCACCACCTTCGCGCGTATAATACGCGTCTAAGAGCGATGAATGCAGATCTGCCATGGAAACGGGCCTCTTGCGGCTCTAAGCATGACACTAGGCTTTATAAACACGGAGAACGAATCTGGCTTCGTCTGCGGGCCTACACCAAGTATAAAACACGCAAACAAAACGGCACGCACGAACTCGAAAAAACCACGCGGACGCGGTAATTCCACGCATGCGCATTAACGCGCGCAATGAGTTAAAACTCATTGGGGCCCAAAGCACCTCGAGGGTCAATTTACACGAATAACGCAGAATTGAAATGTAACGCGTCGCGTGAGTAGCATGTGCACCCGCTTACCTTCTCTTTCTCTGCGGATAAACAAAAAAGGAGTGCCAAAAACGAGTAAAGGTTGCTATGACAATATACTCTAAACTTGCTGTATTTGTATTGACGACATTGAAAATGAACACATTCCCACTCACAAAGTACATAAAATTATCATAAAACCTACACTAACAGTGCACCATACTTGCGGGCTTTATCTCGTCCTCTGGCAACTGGACTGCGACCACCATCACCACTGTTTCAATGAGAAAAGAAGGTATTTAGGTTCTTGGCACTCCACTCAAACTGAAAGATAAACTATAACTAACTTACTCGTCTGAATTCTGAGTTGTACACTCCGGACTCGAGTTCTAGGTGAAAAAGACATGGTAAAAGACGGCCGCCCAAAAAAACGCACGTGTGATGGGCCTTAATTAGAATACCCGGATCGCTCTGCTCTTACCCTGTCCATGCCGGCCCCTACGTCCGGCTTTCTGTCTGACATCTCGTCCTCCGACATGACCCTCCCGATCTCTACCCTCAGTTCCTAGCTAGCTGCTCACACGCCAAACGAGTAAAGTCACACTTCGTCCTCGCAATTGATAATAATGACGTAATATTACGTGCGCATGCGCGCTTACTCAACGACGATGCATCATCTCCTCTCCATCGTGTTTTTTTGCTCCTTGGGCTCGCATCAACTACAATTATGCAAAACCAAGGGTGGAAAGTGCAGCATTATCGTCCAATAAGGAGTATATCAGTCTTGTTTCGCAGATTTAGGCGTAGCTCCATTCACGTCATGTGAGTCCTTTTGTCTCTGAGACTGTCTGGATGGTACCAACAGCAGCACCAGTAGAGCAGCAGTTGGGACAAAGTAGAAGTGACTGTGTGAAGTAAATGTACAATTTTATTGCTGTGTAGAAGACATGTATACAGCCAGCCTCTATTAATGCTAAAACAAGAAAGGAACGACGTATTGGGGATTATTGGAAGTGCTTTAGAGAGAGGGAAGTTCGAGTCAGTAATATTTACAGCTTTACACAGGGCAGTGGAGAGCATTCACAGAGATTGCAGTCCAGGCAGGGCTCACCTCCAGAAGACCATGACGTCAGAGAACAACCTGAGGTCCACTGCTACACCACCATAGGCCCTACAAACAGCTGAGTGAGGACCCACGTGGCTATGTGGTAGGTCCACTTCAACACTGGACCACGACTAGTGAAGAATGGGTTACACCACCTCCTCATCTGGGAGAGAGTGGGGACATGTTTTAGTTTTCAAGGTCCGTAACTTAAGGACCTAACAGAAATGATTCATGCAACACACTATTTTACACTCTGACATGAAAACTAGTTCACAAGTCTTCCATTTCACTTTTTGCAGAAATTATCTTATGGTTATTGGAAAATAATGAAATTTGAGGTTCTAATTGCCATAAAGATGTCGTCATTAGAGGGGCTACCCACTAACCTTCTTGGCTGCCATAACGGACAAGCCGAGAGAGAGAAAACCGAGATAGTATCCAGGATGGAAGCCGTGCCACCAGGCAGAAAACAAGAAACTGGCCAGAGTTGGACTCCATGACACTCTCTCATAAACCACTCTGTCAAAGAGCAAACACACAGAAACAAAATGCTCATAATTATACCAAAAAGTTGTATCACTAAGTACGGTAGTACTTAGTATATAGGGATGACACAGGTTGTCCTGCATTATGCCCATTACATTTGAGATTTTCATGTTTCACTTTCATATACATTGCTTTGCACTTGCTTTGGTTTCATACCTCACTTACAGTTGTTCATTAGGCCATTCTTAATGCTAAAACTCTCAAAGAAACATAATATTGGTAACCTGAATTTGAGGCAAGAGCAAAGACTATACGAACCTTCTTATCCATCGTGAGGCAGTTATGTGCCATAAGTTGAGAGTGTTTCTCGCATTCATAGAAAACTCCACACCTACTGCATCAACATCAGAAGCCAGCCCCCACTTGGGTCTGTTTTGTTCGTCGTAACCCTCGAACCCCAGCCCAGCCACATTGCTGATGCTGTCGTTGACATGGAAAGCAAAATGTAACTGACTGCGGATAACGAAGCATGCCAGACAGAAATATGCCATCTTCACAAATATGTTCATGGAGGGATCTGTTAGGAAGAGTAAACCACGACATATTTGCAAACACTGAAATGTTAGCTGCACCTATGGGAAGAGGTGTCTTGTGGTCTGCCAATAAGGTATAGAGAGCGACAAAGAAGATGGACAGCAGTAACTTTGACAACACTGGATACTGCAAAATGGAAAGTCAACAAATATTCATTTGAGACCAAAATGGAACTCACCAAAGCCGACGGCTCTTTGGCATATTCAGTGGACTATAGAGAGCAAAGACAGAGAATATCATTTACTAACTTGTTATATAATCAGTTCATGATTAATCCATACAAGCATAATTACCTGAAACATTGCCTAAACTGCTATACATTGCAAAATCATCCATTAATAATACGCTGGACAAGTGCTAATATCACTCACCGATGACTGTTGGCTACTGGTAGGAGAGGCTACACGGAAGTTGGAGCCATCCATGAAGTCCAGATGCTCCCTCATAGTGACTGAGGGTCCAACTAGTACACTGTGGAAGTTGAAACAGTAGCTCATGTACTCCAGGACTGACGGCACAGAGCTGTGGAGGAGGAGACTAAGAGTTGCAGCAGAGATTATCAGGTCATCCTCACGTCAGTTTCTGCTTCTCCTGGTCTTTATTCAGAGGCTTACTATTGCCTCCCATTCCTATGTAGAAAGGCATTTTATAAGCAATGGCTATTAGTACGGCCACTTACCATCATATAAACTAAACCCTACATAAGTAAGCTTTTGAATCATTATCATCATTGTCCTACAGTGAAGGAACAGCTATTATTTCATGGTGAATAAAGCGATAATTATTATACCAACGAATATTCGAACTCCCTACGTAATAGTCGGATAAGATGTTGCCAGCACTCAAGAATAATACAGCCCATCCCATACTCCACCTGTATAAGTATGAAAATGTAAGTACTAATGTGTTGGCACAGAGTGTGTGTATGTATGCGAGTGTGTACTAGTGGAGATGTACCAAAGCAATTGCTGATGGCATGCAGCAGAGTGGTAGCTAGGGGAAGCATACTGACAAGAGGCATATGTGTAATATAGGCTCTTACCTATGGACAGTCTGTGGTGGTGCCACAAGAAGGATGATGTATCCAACTGCTACAAGTCCCACCAGAGCTAACACCTGCCTGTTGAACAAGGAGAGGCAAGAGCACGGTCTGAAGGGAGGGATCTAATATGAAGGGAGTTGTGAGTACTACAGTCTACATAGCTCAGGAGGGAAATAGAATTCTGAGTGTAAACCTGTCCTGATTTATGATGCAAACACTGAGCTATGGTGACAATTTTCTTCATTGGCATACTTTGTGAGTATTGACTCAGGCAATTTAGGACAGAGGATCATAGCAGCCACAACTGAATAGGTGAGGGAAGCCACATGCATGCATACAACCGTATTACACAAGTAAATTAAAAATCCTGCGAATTTTAAAAAGAGGCATATAGGGATGGAAAAGGAGACAAGATAGGGATGGGATACATGAAGAATGGTTAATGAACAGATTTGAGTACGCTGACACCCCAAACCCCATCACACAATCCCTATATTGTTACCTGGTGTGCCACTCGTGAACTCCCTAAAACGGTGTTGGTTACTCAGTAGCATTGTCAAGCTACAAATCATGACTATTGTAACGGTGAATGTTTAATACTTCACCTAGGGTGTCAGCGTGCTCAAATCTGTTGGTGGGGGCTGTCACTATGTACATCACCACTGATGAGGACTGCTGAATGCAGTTGAAACGTCTGGTGTTATGTGATTATTATATTTGACTAGAGTATAGTGAAAAGTCCTATATAACTTTAAGTCTAACCCCATAAAGCGCGATACATATTGGCAGGTACTCACCAGCCATAGAAGAGGGCGGCGATGGCGAGACCAGAGAGAGATGAGAAGAGATGTCTGACATGGAGAGAGGTCGACGAGGGGTGGAGGATGTAACGCAGCACCAACGCCAGGGGGTACCCCGCCACCAACAGGGTCACCAGTTTGATCTGTTAGTAAACAGCATTAATTCGTAGCTTGTAGAATTTCTGCTAACTGTGTGCTCGATTCAAACCAGTCTCGGTCCAATACCCTCTCTAAAATTGGCTGTCTGCACATGCTCCAGACCAATAGCCACTGAGCATGTGCAACAGGCCAGGTGTGTGCTTCTCCCAACCTCGCCCACTGGTAGCAATTACATTTTCCATTACATACTGTCGCGCGCTTGAGCCAAATTTCTGTTTTCAAACATAACGTTAAGCTCAAAAGACTCTTCTAGCTTTATTTGAGTGGTCATAATGAAAATACATTTTGTGCTGTTAGTTAATTACGTCCACGGGTTCCAAAAGAACAGGCCTACGAGCGATTGGCTACGAAACATTCATCTGGCAAGATTGAAAAAGATTAGCTATAGCTAACATAAATACATACATGAACTTTCAAGTGTTTCTACCTGAAAACAGGAAAGCTGTTTTGGGGGAGGGCAGCATGGGTCTGGCTAGTAATCACTACTTTATTTTTTGGCAATGTGACTTGGTTCTTCTCCGATACTTATTCCTGGGTGGTGGGTTCATAGCTACCCTGTACAAAAGCTTCCTTGATTTGTTAGAGTTACATGAGGTAGGCTAACAGCCCCTAGTCTGGTCACCAGACTCTTCCTACAAAAATTACGTGCATGCGGAGGTCGTATGTGCGAGAGGGAAAGAAGGGTCTGGTTCAAAGCTATACCCAAGGCTGGAATGTGAGAACAAGTGTTGGAATGCAATTATACAGAATTAGGGGGCTGGGTGTTGGGTGGAGTTTTAGAAGGATGAGTGAAATGAGTTGTAGTCCAAGCTCAGTCGAGGCTACACCGTTGGCGTAGTAAAGGTGCCATTACAGCGAGAGGCAATACGAATGTTTACGCGAGGGAGACATGTGCTCTTCCAACCAGGTTCGGCAAATCTTTGTGTTATGCTCTTCTCTAGCTTGTGTTCGACCATCTGCCATGCTGCAAAGATGCATCAATTCGTTGTCCTTCTGCTGTAACATGGACTTGCCGCACGTTATTTCTGCGCATCATGTACCCACGTGTAGATCATTTACCATCTCCATAATTATAGCGCACGGTTTTTCTGACTGCCACCCAACCTTCAATAGGCTACTCTCATTCTGTGGAGGTTACGAAGGAAAAGAAAGACGAAAGTAGCTACAACACTGCATTTTGTTTATGTGGTTAGCCACTGGAAGTGGTGCGCCCACGCTAATCAAAATTCCAGTCGTTTGCACCAGACCGACCCTTCTTTCCCTCTGGCGCATGCGACTACCGCATGCGCGTAATTTAGGATCAGGTGACCAGACTAACATCAGCCCATGGACGACATGGATTTCTTTCTCAACCATGATGTCACTATCACCATTCATACAGCTCGCATCACTATACACTGATAATTGTACGACGACGCATAATATAGCGCCCTCCTATAAGCAAACCTGGTCCTCCGGCATGCCAAATACACCGGAGAGGTACTGGATAAACGCACCAAACATTCTGATCTTCAGTCCGTTTTCAGCAGCACTGGAAGAATTTGGTTAGTTGCCACTCCCTTCGCTATATTGGCTACGGAACTCGAGGCCCTTTCAGCAGCTACCGGTGGAATGCGAGGGGTCCGACACGGGCAATTACACGGTGGAATGCCGCAATGCGCATTATGAAGTAAAAACGTGGGCGTGGCTCCAAAACACTCGGCGGCGGCGCAGCGGCGTGTGGGCGGCCATCCAACAGGGCGGCAGAAGGTATTATAGCAAAAAAATTAGCAAAACCTCTGCTATAGGCAGTGTATATAGTTTGAAATCTAACATATACAAGCATTCACACTCATGTCTGAAGAAGAGAATGGACAACAAAGAACAATAGACAAAACCTTTTGCCATTGTTCAAAGGTTCCACTGTGTAGCTATTGACTTGGCACTGCCACCAGACTCAATACTCATGAAACTAGTACAATACTGTCACATTACAAAGGTGAGGGTAGCTAAATGGACACTCCCCATGCATCAGTCTTGTTTGGAGTGTTTGGTGTTGGAGTCTGAAGAGGGACCAGATTTGACATCTCCATTCACGTCATGTGAGTCCTTGTGTCTCTGAGACTGTCTGGATGGTACCAACAGCAGTACCAGTAGAGGAGCCAAACTCGGAACAAAGTAGTAGTGACTGTAAACATAGAACCAAGTGGACAGAAAGAGGGAATAGAAGTTAAAAAAACCTAGAGAATTCAAAACTATGATAGTAGCTTATTATCCATACTTTAAGGTGTAAGTTGTACGTTCAAAGATAACAGGGAGCAGTTAGCATATAGTTTCTCAAATAGGGTCAGTCACTAGCCACAGCATTTTTGCCATTTGATTTCCCCTCCAATGGAAATGAATGTCAAAGTGGAGCATTAATAAGGAATGTGAGGAGTGGGGCGGCCAGGACTCACCTCCAGAAGGTCCAGACAGCAGGGAACCACACCAGACTAACAGCTAAACAACTGTAGGTCACATACACCTGAGTGAGGACCCACGTGGCTACGTGGTAGGTCCACTTCAATACTGGACCATGATCGGTGAAGAATGGGTTACACCACCTCCTCATCTGGGAGAGAGAATGGGGGGAAACTTTAGTTTGGTTACTTTGGTTTTGTGGCCATGAATGACTAAGCTTTTGCTATTAGAAACCCATTGTTAGAGTTGTATATCTTGAGCTAAGCAACGAGTTAAATTGTACCTCAAGTACTTTCAAAATGAATTCATTATTGTGGCCCGAAGAATAAATTTAAGAGCCTTCTCCTAGCAAGTTATAAAGTCAATGCCCATAATACACAGCTATTGAGATAGCTACCTTCTTTGATGCCATTAAACCGAGACCAGCAGTGAAAAAACCGAGATAGAATCCAGGATAGAAGCCGTGCCACCAGGCAGAAAACAAGAAGCTGGCCAGAGTTGGATTCCATGACACTCTCTCATAAACCACTCTAAGATGGCAAGCAAATGAGACATAAACAGGACAAAGTAGACACACAAGGAAAGACAAATGTTTCAATGAAAAACTACATTAGGCCTTTCTCAATGCATAAAGGAAGCAAACACTTGGATTTGAGCATAATAAGACAGACCTTCTTATCCACCGTGAGCTAGTAATATTCCACGAGTTGAGAGAGTTTCTGGCATTCATAGAGAGCTCTATACTCAGTATATCAATATTGGACGCCAGCCCCCACTTGGGTCTGTTTTGTTCGTCGTAACCTTCGAACCCAAGCCCAGCTGCATTGCTGATGCTGTCGTTGAGAAGGAAAACAAAGTAGAACCGACAGCGGATAACAAAGGACACCAGGGAGAAATACAGCACTTTCAGGAATACGTTCATGGACGAATCTGTGATAGGGTAAAGTTCACACATTACACTGTAATAATACTTGAAAGAGTGCAACGCATTTTTAGTGAGCGAAGAAAGCAGTTCAATATTTCACGCGTTTTGCACGTATTGAGAATCAGGTTAACATTACGGTATGTGTTGTTAGATGCACTGTTACACATGGAAAAATTCCACATTCAGAAAACTAGGCAGACTCACTTCGCTCGCCAATCATGCATGTATATAGGTCATACATTACCTATAGGTAAGGGTGAGTTGTAGTCTATCAATAAGAAATAGAGAACACAGAAGAAAACTGACACCAGAAACTTTGACAACGCTGGATACTGCAAAATGGACCAGCAAGTAACCTTTAAACTAACAACACAAAAAGTAATATTGAACTCTATTAGCTACACTATATAGCCGAAAATATTTTTCATACTGAACGTTTTGGCTGAAAAATTGTCTTACCAAAGTAGAAGGTTCTCTGTGAGATTTAGTGGACTGGAAACAGAGACAAACAATAGAATTATGATCAAATGAGGAAGAGAAAGAGAGAGAGACGGGGGAAGTTGCTAATAGCTACACCCACCAGCAAACTGTACACAACACTCTCAAGAAACTTGTTTTTCAAGTGAGGGTATAAACTGAAGAAACTCATGTCACTTTACTGAAAGGCTTCCTGCACATGCAAAACTGCTGGAAGCATGCTTCCTGCACATTCAGATATGTGCAGATGTGTAGGAAGCATTTCAAAAAGTGCAGCTAGAAATGAAAAGGTGTAGGAAATACTCCCCATACTTTAACATGTGCAGGAAGAATTTAAAGCTTCCTCATATTCTTCCTGCACTTGAGCAAGTTGTGCCGGAAATCTCTTACATTTTGCTTGAAATTCCTTCACACTTCCAGTAGCTACATTCCCCATACATAACATGGGTTCCTCAATGAGAGAGTGTTACACACATATATGGTGACAATATTTCCACATAATAAGCTGAAACACAAGCACTAAGCAACATCACCCACTGATGACTGTTGGCTACTGGTAGTAGAGACTGCACTGTGGAAGTTGGAGCCATCCATGAAGTCCAGATGCTCCCTCATAGTGACTGAGGGTCCAGCTAGTACACTGTGGAAGTTGAAACAGTAGCTCATGTACTCCAGGACTGACGGCACAGAGCTGTGGAGGAGGAGACTAAGAGTTGCAGCAGAGATTATCAGGTCATCCTCACGTCAGTTTCTGCTTCTCCTGGTCTTTATTCAGAGGCCTACTATAGCCTCCCATTCCTACGTAGAGAAGTCTTGAGCTATTATTATACATTAGTACAGTCACTTACCATCATGTATACTAAACCCTACATAAGTAAGCTTTTGAACCATTATCATCATTGCCCTAAAGTGAAGTAATAACAGATTTTCATGGCTGATATAAAATTAATGATAGTATTATAATATATACCAACGAATACTCAAACTCCATACGCCGTAGTACATATTGCCAGCACTCATGAATAATACGGCCCATCCCATACTCCACCTGCATAAGTATGAAATGTACAGAGTGTGTGCCATATCACAGTGGTTTGAGGTTTGCCTGGGTTTGAATCCAACCTAGGGCAGCTCTTCTTTTTTCCTTGGAAAAAAAGAGCTGTCCTGGGTGTAGCTAGTCGATTTGTTTGTTGTGCCTTTGCCTTTCTACCTCGTAGTTCAACATGCAAGTGCGTGAATATTGGTGGATATGCATTAATGGCTTATGGTTTACAGAAATAATACTGAAAGAGGCATTATGTGTAATATAGGCTCTTACCTATGAACAGTCTGTGGTGGTGCCACAAGAAGGATGATGTATCCAACTGCTACAAGTCCCACCAGAGCTAACACCTGCCTGTTCAACAAGGAGAGGTAAAGAGCACAGTCTGAAGGGAGGGATCTAATCTGAAGAGTGTTGAGAGTAGTCTACATAGCTCAGGAGGAAATTAAAAAAATTGTCCCCCAAGCAAGTAACTTCGTGCCCCTATGAACGAGCAAACTCAGTTATGCGGCACTAACCTATATAGCTATACACAGTGTGATTGGAGTCACCAAGGTGTATAGCAACCTATACTCACCAGCCATAGCAGAGGGTGGCGATGGTGAGACCAGAGAGAGAGGAGAAGAGATGTCTAACATGGAGAGAGGTCCAGGAGGGGTGGAGGATGTGACACAGCACCAATGCCAGTGGATACCCCATCAACAACAGGGATATGAATCTGACCTGCGATGCGGGATAGAGGAGACACAGTTTTAATGCCATCCCTCTTTAATACCCTTTACTTTTTACAGTGCATGGGTCCAATAAAGGACAAAGAACCTCTTAATAATAATAAAGGATACACTTTGAAGTCCCAACTGTTCCTTTCTCCTAGTACATTTCGTAACCAAAAGGTTTGGACAAACCTCTGTATAAAGGACAAAATTCCTGGTCCCAACATGTCAGAGGTTACTACATGGAAAAGCCTTTTTGATGTCTCCTGCACCCCAAGATATCAGGACCACTGTAGTACTGTATTCCTATAATTTAGCACAGGAGGGGCAGGCTAGTTGACAAACCTGAATGTGCAGTAATGCAGTTAGTGTTTCTGCAGTCCTATGAATCACATGCCACCCTGACCAACCTCTAGCTTCTTGCTGTCGTTGTAGGGTTACATGAGGTAGGCACTGTCAAGTTCGTATATTATAGCTAACAGTCCCTGGATTCCAAATGATGTTGCCATCACCATGCATGTATAACGTCACTATGCGTCTATTACATCTCACATCACTATATACACTGATCCCAATTGTGCTCCCCAAATCAATAATTAAAAACGGTTGCTTGATAACCGGCAGAAATCGCTCAGGATGAAAACTGGGTATTGTAGCTATATATACAGGGCATCTTATGCGTTACAGTTATGAGGTGAACACTAAACGGTATATACATAGGAGTTGAGAATTGCTTTTTGGATGATATATAGGCTCCGGTCACTTCCGAGTATTATGCATGTCAGTGAGAGCCACCCTATAATTATAGCTATGACGACGCGTCGAGTTTCCCACCTATATTGTTCAATGCAACAAACCTGGTCATCAGGCAGGCCAAGTACACCGGAGAGATACTGGAGAAATTCTTCAAACATTCTGATCTTCAGTCTGTTTTCTGCAGGAAAGCACTAAGAATTTGGAATAGCAGTTGCTACTCCCTTAATATATTGGCTACAGAACCCGATTCTCCTTCAGCGGCTACTTATAAACTCAGGTGAAATGCTTTCAGCCCCCGCTGTACTGTGTATATAGGACGGCGGCCCCGTACGATTGCGCGCATAAAACATGGGCGTGGCTATAGCTCTGCGCGTGCGCAGCATTTTCTCGGCCGTGGACTGTTAATTACAGTATTACAGTTTACATCATCGCTATGTTCTGGGTCTATATAGGTTTGTGGTCAAGTAAAATTCATGCACATGTACGGGCATCTACACAATTCAATTTGGATAATTACAATATTATGCACCTGAGGGAAAATATGGATGCATGACTACTACTGTCAGACAAAATAATGTTTTTTTTAAAAGTTGACATCAGGAGTATCATTTTTCTTCATAACATGCAGAGTCAGAACATCACCCATCTGCACCCTCATCCCCCTAATGGCTCCCACTGACATTGGGACCCTCGTCTTTAGGAGGAGAACTGGCACCTTTCACCACTTGAACAACGTTCTAGGATATTCAGAACATGTGCTCACTCTGCACATAGAGTCAGCTATGCATGTCTCAAACATACCTCGTTTCCCCCGTTTCCATCTTCATTGGTACCATCACCAGGGGGTGTTGTCTCCTCCACTCCAACCTCACCACTGAGGTTAGATGAGGCATCGGAAACTGTAGCACAAACATGTAACAATGTACGACAAGTAACGAGGCATTGCAGCCTTTCAACCTTTGGGTGCTGCCTTGTCTGCAGTTTCCTTTTCTGTATTAGGAAGTAGAACACAGGATTACAATTACCAACATGGCGCTATCATACTGACCACTGTTGCTATTGTCAGTCACAGCAGAGGGATTGGGTAGGACTGTGACATAAGGCGTGTGTGTCTTGGTGTCCATATCTGATGGTTTGAGTTGGTTGGTAGGAGGAAGTCCTAACTCGGCATATTGAGAACGAGCCATTTTCTGAGGAGAGAGAGGGTCATAATGTATACTACTATCATGTGATCATCAGCTGACATGAGTAGCTCTAATGTCGATCTCTGAATACTGGACTTTGGAGTCGTGTGGTAGAGAGGGCCTGGGCACTGATGATGTCTTCACCACTACATATTTACTCTCTTCTACTTTACTGTCTTTGTCTTTACTCTCTTGGTATTTAATCTCTTCATCTTGCATACCACCGTCCTCGTCTTTTCCACCCATCAGATTACTGCCACTTGTGCTACGCTTTCTCAAATCAGGCTAAAAGAGAAACAGCTACTTCAGAGACAACAACATAAAACAAAAAAGTGACATACCTTTCCTCGTCTCTTCTTTAATACCATGCATATGCTTAATAATATTATTACGATGCACATAATAATATTGAAGGACAGGGACAGGAACAGGGTCAGTACAACAGATAGTTTTCGGGTGCCATCTTCGCTCGTTGGTCCCTCTGTAGGAACTAAAAAGAAACTTGTCGTCATGTGTCAGTGGTCTCAATAGGTGTAACATTAGCCCGGGAAGCCACAAAATTAAAGGTTCTGCCAGCAGTACATTAGCAGTATTGTACCTGAACTGGCATCTTGTACACCGGGCACACTCGGCGAGTACCGGACACCAGTCATATCCATGGAGAATGGAGCAGTCCACGAGATGGTCACTGAGGGAGTGGCTGCAATATTACTCACTTCTGCCGGTATACCTGTCAAAATAATGATGATACTAGGGTATCACTAACTATGGCAGTACTTAGTATACAAGTAAATAATAATTCTTCGAATTAAAAAAGTGTGGATTATGGGGATGCCATAAAAAGTAAGGAGCAAGACAGGGATGACCTAGTGAACATGATGCAGTAGCACAATGGATGATGGCTACATACTTTGAACTGACATCGCTTGCTCATATAAAATTTCCTCCACACATGCCCTATATTGTCGCAAAGCACGAGTGTGCTCCCTTGTATGATGCACAGCTATGATGTATTTTATTAGCACATTCGACAGGTAACACCATCTACTCAGTTTTCAGTTGTGACTGCATTGTGTGAAGTGTATGACTTCTACATTTGCTCAACTAACCAGTTGTACAATGCTGCGTTCTTGGCCATCTACATATATACAAAATCCTTTCACCATTGTCCTCACACTTCACTAAACAAACAGTAAAGGTGGCGACAACATAGGGCTTGTGTGGAGGAAATTTTACACGAGCAAGCGATGTCAGTTCAAAGTGTGTAGCCATCATCCATTGTACTACTGCATCCTGTTCACTAGGTCATCCCTGTCTTGTCTCCTTACGTTTTATGCCATCCCTATACTCCACACTTTTTTAATTCGAAGACATTTTTATTTACTTGTCTCCTTTCCTTTTTCACATGCATGGTGTGAAATAAATGGGATATTTTTGGGCATAAGCCCATAAAAAAAAGTAACATTGGTGGCCCTATCACCTCAGATGTTTTGTCGTCATTCACATTACATCAGTGCACCAAGTTTCATTGTGAGAGGACCCATATAAACAAGTTATTTGCACTGACACAACTTAAAAGTCTTTTTTTTCCTGAGGCTGTTTGTTGTTGTTTACAACCTTGTAATTTCTGTTTCGATGAACTCTTTATCATGGTGAATCAGTGTACCAAGTTTCATTGTTAGAGGACCAACTACAGGTAATTTATAGGCACAAACACCATTTACAAGTTTTTATTGCCTGAGGCAGTTTGTTGTTGTTTACAAGCTTGTAATTTCTGTTTTGATGAACTCTTACCATGGAAGCTACATCAGTGTACTAAGTTTCGTTGTTAGAGGATCCACCAAGGCACAAATATCATTTACACAAGTATTATTGCCTGGGCAAACGAATTCTGTAGGGAAAGCAGCACTGTAAACCGGTTAGTTGAGCGAACATTGAAGTAAACACAGTCACCTGAGGACCTGTCAGAGAGGGCATTTGCTACCAGTCTTACGTGCATAGGAACGAGTCATAGCTGCACATCATACGATAGAGATCACTAGTGCTTTGCGACAATATAGGGCTTGTGTAGAGTAAAATTTACATGAGCAAGAAATGTCAGTTTGAAGATGTAACAATCATCCCATTATACTACTGCATCACAAGCCCAGATCATCCCTGTCTTGTCTCCTTGTTTTTTATGGCATCCCTATATTCCACACTTTCCACACTTAAGGTATATTCTAACAACGTTCATTAGCTATGAATTGCTTTTGTAAATCTTTTGCAGAGATTCTTCGTGCTCCTGAAAACGCAACTGTCTTTCTAAACCGATCGGCAGTTTTTACGTGTCACACCGGAGGTGGCACCACTCTGTGGAACGTCAATGGAACACAGCGTGAAACCTTTCCGCCTGAAATACGTATTGATCTGGTTGTCTCAGAGATTACTACGTCTGAAGGCACTACAGAGGAGACTCTGACTATTCCAGCCAGAGCACAGTACAATGGGACTAGAGTTCAGTGTCTGTCATTAGTACTTGGTGGCTCATTTGCAGAGAGTAACAATGCCACATTGACCATTCAAGGTTTTAATGTGAAGTGTATTAAAGTCATAAAAATGTTATCCATGATTATTTCAGGTCCGCTATTACTATTAGCAGGTGACTTGAGAGTCACCATCAATGCCAGCTCAGTGACCATCTCGTGGACTGCTCCATTCTCCCTGAATGTGACTGGTGTTGATCCTGATATCTGGTACTCTGTCCTCATCTACAATGTGACAGATGAGAACAACACAACAGCAATTCTCTGTACTGACTGTATCAATATCACTGAGACCACACTACACCTTCACTCTTGACTACCATCAGTCCTTGTCATGTGTACAACTTCTCTGTCATCCCTCTGAATGGAGCTGGTAGGGAAAGAGTGGTGGTATCATCGGTAGGTATTAAACTAATTTAATCTGTTTCCATATTCTCAGGCTCTCATCATTTTATATATAGGACAATCTCAGTTTACCAGAGTTGACGCCCAAGCTGTTTGCGATTCTGTTTCTGTCACATTTCAAGTTTTTGTAAGATTTATCTTTTTATGTTTGCAACACTCAAACTTCTTTTTATAGGGCCACATAGACGGAGTTTGTAACTATATTCTTCATGGAATATCTCCTGCAAATAGCAGTATTACGAAGTCTGAAAGTCAAGAGTTCTTTACATACACATTTTCTGCAAACAAAAACTATTCCATCGTTTTTGAAGTTTTTACCACTGCTGGAGCTGTGAATGTATCATATGACATCTTTAGTAAACCACAAAATCACTTAGGCCTTTCATTGGCTTAAGAGCTTTTGCACTATGTTTCCACAGCAACATATGATGTCCAGAGACTGTCAGTGGAAAAGGAAGTAGGAAGAGGAGTAATAGTAAGAGGAGAGTTCCTCAGTGGGTCACGAGCTGTAGGGTGTCTGGTGGTCCTCCAGGGACCTCCCACCTCTCCTGACATATTATTCAGAGCTCTCCTGAGAACCCAGTCTCAGGAGACTGTCTCCACAACTGTACCTGTCCCTCCCTCCACTTACTCTGTGTATGGATATGACCTTGAGGAGAATGGACTACCCAACACCATGCCTGCTGTAATACTGGAGGGTCAGATAGTGAACACCTCAGGTTATTATAATTATTATTTGTGCTATTTTAGGGTTTTGATTTGTTCGCAGATATTGCAGATTCAGTTAAACCTTCGTTGTACTTAAAGAGTGGCAGCATATCTCGAAGAGGATCAACTATAGTGGTAGACTGTGAATTTTCAGAGGTCTATCCTGAGGCCTCATGTGTCCTGGTCTACAGAGAGTATGGCAGTCTACTCCTGACAGTAGTAGACATCCCCCAACTCTTTGATTTCCCTGTCTCTATCACTGTGGACAACCCCAAAATCTACACTTTCGCTTTGTTTGGGAAAAATGATGCAATGAGTTTGGATGAAGCACCACTGGTTTATACTAAATTCAGTGACTCAGGTAATAATCACTACAATACAATCTCTATATATTATATCAGGCATAAAGGCATTTGAGACACTTCCACAAAAGTGAAAGTATACTCTAAGACACTTTTTGTAACTATAGTGTCCCAACTTTCATTTATCTGCAGACGATCAGGAGGAAACAGACAAAGAGAAAGGAGGAAAGCAAAACTCTCAAGCACCAGTTGTTGCCATATCCGTTGGTGGGTGTTTACATTACCAAAGTTAAACCCACAAACGTATAATATATCCCCCTGCAGGAACTGTAGTTGTGTGTGTTCTAGTATGTGGCGGCTCAGCAGTGTTACTCCTGGTGAAAGTCAGACACTATTATAGCCGAAGCAAGTCCCCGTCTGATGCAGGTAAAATAATTATGATTATAATTAGGATCTGGTTTTCAAATATTTTCCAGCACACTTCTTCACAGTTGTGTTTAAGTGTGGTCTCTTGCATCAGGTCTGCAGACCAAAAATGTGGTGTACGATGAGGTGGTTCTTCCCCCAACCACCACAACCTCTTCTGTCATTCCAACTGAACCAAACACAGCCTATGTCACCACTCAGACTACTACCATACCCACTGACCAGAATGTAGCTTATGGTGTGCATACATCGTCATAATGTCTGTTATCACCATGTGGGTTTTTGTATCCCTATATAGCATCATTAGACTTATACATGTATGGAGAAGGAAGGAGATTTATAGCCCTGCCCCTGAGTAAGCAGTTACACATGACAGCACACTAAATGAACAGTGTGATGTATTAGTTAACGTATAGGCGGCGAGGCGGCACAGGAGAGGAGGATTTCCTGCCGAGGAGGATTTCCTGTACGCGCCGAGACGCCTGACGTTATGATTAATTTTGTAGTCCAACTAGCCAATCACAATGCTGAATTTCTGCTGTGTCATCCTGCACTAATGGAATCCAGACAATTTGCACTATGCCTAGCGCTAGATGTTGTGATAAGGACTTCCTGTGATACCAGTGCAGCCTGCAGCCCACAGCTCAGAATACAATTCCTAGCACTGGGTTGTTTGAAGTTGGACTACAAATAAGCATTATTGTTGACACTGTGCACATAAGTATACTACACTGGCGCTCTGTATATAGAGGGCCCAGTTTCTACACACAATAATTATAGTACAATTTGGTATGTTACTAGGCTTTGGAAAATTATGCTCAAGTTTTTCACCTAAAGTGCTATTCTCTGATTCTCATGCAGGTCCCAATAATTCTCAAGAAATGTACCCATAATGCTCAAGTTTTTACATAAAATGCTATTTTCCTTTTTTTGCTAGCAGTTGCATTTGATCCAGCCTCGTCATCACCAGTCGCAAAACTCGTGCCCGCTGGTTGTGTGCTACACTCACTACACCATTTTTGCATGCCATGTGGTGTATATAGTAGGAGGTCAACACGAGAGCTGGCCGGGCCGGCAGCGGTGCACGGGGGCACGTGCGACAGAATTGGCAGCGCAGTACACCCACCACACCCATTCGGGGGTGCAGAATGTCAGGATAATGCCCTAAAGTGCTCGAAATTATGCCAGTAGTGAGGTAACAAAATGAACACTACTCATATTTCAGTCTTGTTTGGTGTTGGAGTCTGAAGATGGACCAGATTTGACATCACCATTCACGTCATGTGAGTCCTTGTGTCTCTGAGACTGTCTGGACGGTACCAACAGCAGTACCAGTAGAGGAGCCACAGTTGGAACAAAGTAGTGGTGACTGTAAAGATAGAACCAAGTGGACAGAAAGAGGGAATAGAAGTCAAAAAAACTAGAGAGTGGAAAACTATGACTGAGTAGCTATAGCTATGTCAAAAATAATATTAACGTAATACTAGGGAGCAGTTAGCATATGTTTCTCAAACAGTGGTCAGTCACTAGCCACAGCAATTTTTGCCATTTGATTTCCCCCCAATCAAGTCATGCAGAAATGAATGTCAAAGTGGAGCATTAATAAGGGATGTGAGGAGTGGTGGGGCCAGGACTCACCTCCAGAAGGTCCAGACAGCAGTGAACCACACCAGACTAACAGCTAAACAACTGTAGGTCATATACGCCTGAGTGAGGACCCACGTGGCTACGTGGTAGGTCCACTTCAACACTGGACCATGACTGGTGAAGAATGGGTTACACCACCTCCTCATCTGGGAGAGAGAATGGGGTGGTTACTTACTTTTGTGTGGCTATGAATGACAAATTTTTGCTATTAGAACGAAAAGTAAGAACCATTCATATTGAGATAAGCAACTGGGTTGGATAGCACTTTCAAAATGAATTCAATTCCCTACCGGAAGAAAGATTTAAGAGCCTATTGTTATAAAGTTATTACAGGCAATGCCCATAATACACAGCTATAGCTACCTTCTTTGATGCCATTAAACGAGACCAGCAGTGAAAAAACCGAGATAGTATCCAGGATAGAAGCCGTGCCACCAGGCAGAAAACAAGAAACTGGCCAGAGTTGGACTCCATGACACTCTCTCATAAACCACTCTAAGATGGCAAGCAAATGAGACATAACAGGGACAAAGTAGACACACAAGGAAAGACAAATGTTTCAATGAAAAACTACATTACACCTTTCAAGGAAGCAAACACTTGGATTTGAGAATAACACACAGACCTTCTTATCCACGTGAGCTAGTAATATTCCACGAGTTGAGAGAGTTTCTGGCATTCATAGAGAGCTCTATACTCAGTATATCAAATTGGACGCCAGCCCCACTGGGTCTGTTTTGTTCGTCGTAACCTTCGAACCCCAGCCCAGCTGCATGCTGATGCTGTCGTTGAGAAGGAAAAACAAAGTAGAAACCGACAACGGACAACAAAGGACACCAGGGAGAAATACAACAGTTTCAGGATTATGTTCATGGACGAATCTGTGATGGGGGAAGCAGGTAGTTCACATACACTGTATAATGGATGTAATGATACAGTACCTATAGGTAAGGGTGAGTTGTAGTCTATCAATACGTAATAGATGGCACAGAAGAACACTGACACCAGAAACTTGGACAACACTGGATACTGCAAAATGGACTACACAATTATAACATGCCAAAATTATTTTACATGCTACAACATTTCGGCTGAAAAATTGTTGTTTCCAAAGGTTCTTGTGATATTTAGTGGACTATAAAATAAAGACAAAGGTAAAATGTAATGGAAAGAGGAATTGAAAGACAGAGGGAAAAAGGAAGTCAATACCAGTAAACTTTACACCCATAGATATTGTACGATTTGTTTTTCTT